AGAGGAGATTACTTGCAAGTTATACACTATAAGAACGTCTGAAATTTTGGTTGCTATACAGGAGAATGAAGGAATTTTGGAGGCTTATGCGAAGTCATGGGTTTCTGGTGCCCTTGACAGAGCTGCAACTCAAGGATCAATTGCATTCACATTAGTTCTGCATCACCTTTCATCTTTTGTTTTTAAGTCTCATAAAAGCGACAAGCTATTGCTACGGAATAAGCTTGTGAAGTCTCTACTGCGAGACTACTCCAGGAAGAAGCAGCATGAGGTATGTAGTTTTTTTGTGAAAAGTTCTCGAAACTAACTTGGCATTAGTTCAGTAAGTAATGAGAAATATTAGAAACAAATATGCTCACTTTCTTTACTGCTTCAAATATATCTACCAATTCTGCATGACAAGCATTATGGTGGCATTCTGCTACCACTCACTAAATACTGTATTCTGTATACGGAGGTTTTATTAAGACATACAAAACCTCTTAGGTGTAGCCAGCCGCTATTTCTTGGTATAGATTGTTCTCCAGATGATAATGCAAGAAGGATGTTTCTTAATTTTCTATTATCAAGTTATCTGCATAAGTTCTCACGAGTGTTTATTGAATTTCATTATTTACGTGTTTATCATTTCGGAATATCAGGGAATGATGCTGGAGTTTATTCAAAATACCAAGCCATGTGCAATTCTACTGGCTGAGAGAAAGGGAGGTTTGTCACTGCAGAGGAGCAATGTAGAGGAGAGGTTGGAAATACTGAAGGACGCCTGTGAAGGAAATCCCTCTCTTTTGAAAGAAGTTGAGAAACTGAAAGTCCTCTTGTAACAAAGGACAGTTGTGAACCAAGACATTGTGTGTATAGGATCAAAACACAGTTAAGAATCCCAAAGTAAGGATTACTTTGGTCATTTTAAGGGGCGAGAAATTCTATAACGAGCATGTGCAAGAACGCATGGCAGCAGCAAGAAGGAAAGTTAGGTTTGAGTGCATGATCAGCCTACTCATTGCCCGTGTAACAACAAATGACACAAAGCCCAAAAGCAAATTACCAAGTAAAGATAATCAAATAGCAACAGAAAATTGATGTGAAAAGACCACACTGCAAGCAAGCATGTTGATGGGTGCATGGCCCCAAGGCTAAGAGACCCACACTACGCAGCTAATTCGTCTTTGCTTCTTTTTTCAAATTTTTATTACCGCATGCCATTGATCAATGTCTTGCGTCGCTGTCCTCATGATGACGTGAATTACATAATTAAGATAATGATAATATTCTCACAACAGGGAAAGTTATAAAATTTTACATTAAAAAGAAATTTTTGAAAAAGAATACGAAATTATATTATGATTTAAAAAAAAAAGTTATGAATCTTTCATCGATTATATATTATAATGATATTGAGTAGGTAAAGGTTTACACAACTTTTAATTAGTAAGATGCTTTTTATGAAATAAAATTATGAAATTAATAAATTAAAATAAATAATACTTTATAGAAGTTTAATATCTTTAAAAAAATTTTCAGTTAAAAATTTTGACCCATGTATAAACAATGATCAAAATGATGAGAAATTTATAAAACAAAAAAATATATGTAATGTGAATAACAATTATTTGTTAATTATATGATTATTTTTAAATGTATAAATGGAGATGACAAATACGTTAGCATCTCAATGTCTTAAACAATATGCATGCATTCTTGATTGAGAAGTATTTTCATAATTCTTTAAAAGTGCAATTCTGAATTTAATCTATATACTTTATCAAAATGTTAAATTTAATACTTTTATTATAATTTGTATAAATTGAAACTTCATACTTTAAAAATTTGTTAACATTAATTCAATTGTTGTATCGTGAACCGTATCTTTACCCATTACAATACTTTTATCCATAAACCGTTAATCCCCCTTCTATTCAATGGAAAGGTGAGATCAAATTAATAATCCATTATTGATTAGACAACCTCTAGGACACTCAAATGGTTAAACCAATCGATGAATAATCTATTGTTTTTCGAGATAGACATAATATATAGGGTCATGTAATGCACCAATTCAACACATGATAAATTGCA